AAAAGAGTAGAGTATTTGAGGAGGGGATTGTCAGTAGTGCCAAACGAAATGCCACAGAGAGGTGTGGGAAGATCAGGACTGAAAAGAAGGCATTGAATTTGGCATTTGACATTTTAGGAAAAACAAAAAACAGTTGAGACGAGTGAGGGAGACCAAAACCAATTTTTAGCAAGAATATTTTAGATAGTACTCATTTGGAGAAGGAGGCTTTGAAATATGTTTGTTAAATTTTGCAGTGAAGGAAAAGACAAATGGAGCGGGTAGATTGAGAAGTAAGAAGGAAAGTTTTTTTAAGATAGGAGAAAACATGCGTTTTTAATTTTAATAGTTATTACCTGATAACCTGCTCTGATTATCATCAGACTTAAAATTTTGCCAATCTAATAAGTGAAAATCATTATTTGTTTTGCTGTACATTCAATTATAATGAGATTGGGCCTCTCCTAAATTTTACATTGGGTTTTTCTTACTGATTTGTTAGAAATTTTTGATTAATGCAGTTAACTGTCATAAATATTTAAAATGTTTTTGTGTGGGATTCCTGGGTGGCGCAGCGATTTGGCGCCTGCCTTTGGCCCGGGACGCGATCCTGGAGACCCGGGATCGAGTCCCACATCGGGCTCCCGGTGCATGGAGCCTGCTTCTCCCTCTGCCTGTGTCTCTGCCTCTCTCGCTCTCTCTGTGACTATCCTAAGTAAATAAAAATAAAAAAAAATAAAAATAAAATGTTTTTGTGCTAATTATTCAACTTCATTGAATTTTTAAAATAACTCTATCAGGTTTAGTTTCAGACACAAATAGAAATCCAAATGATAGTTTAAACAGAATTAGAGTTGTCTTTTCCTTTTAAGTCTGAAGATACCTTCTGGACTTTTCAGCCGTACTTAGTTTCTGCACCTCAGTGGTTGTTGAAGTTGTAGTCAATTAGCTCCCAAGTTCCAAGCAGGGAAATGGGAGGTAGGGGTTTGACACTTTGAATCTTTCCCCTTTGAGAAGCTTTTCTGGAAGCTCTACCCAGTCAGTTCTATTTATATCGAAATTGCCAGGTGTGTATTTGGCTGCCTCTGTTGGGGGGCTGAGAAACATAGTTGCTGCATCAAACAGAACTGTGGTTCTGTTAGTAAGGAAGTAGTTTTTGCAAATGGATCTCTTTGTTTTTAAGGCTAAATGATGTTCCATTGTGTGTGTGTGTGTGTGTGTGTGTGTGTGTGTGTGTGTGTATGTGTATGTGTGGTATGTGTATCACAGTTTCTTTATCCATTCTTCTATTGAGGGACACTTAGGGTTGTTCTTGGCTATTGTGAATAATGCTGCAACGAACATTGGAGCACAGATAATTCTCTTGAGTTACTGATTTCATTTCCTTTGGGTGTATACCCAGGAAAGGGGTAGCTGGATCATGTGGTAGGTCTATATTTTTTTGTGGAACCTTAATGCTGTTTTCCATATGGCTATACTGATTTGCATTACCGCAGAAAGTTCCCTTTTCCCTAAACCCTTGCCAACACTTGTTGTCTTTTATTTAATAATGCCATCCTAACAGTTACGAAGTGTATGTACCTCATTGTGGTTTTGACTTGCATTTCCCTGAGGATTAGTAATCTTGAGCACCTTTTCATACACCTTTCTGTATCTTTGGGAAATTGTCTATTTGAGTTTTTTTTTAATTTTTTTTTTATTTATTTATGATAGTCACAGAGAGAGAGAGAGAGAGAGAGAGAGAGAGAGAGGCAGAGACATAGGCAGAGGGAGAAGCAGGCTCCATGCACCGGGAGCCCAACGTGGGACTCGATCCCGGGTCTCCAGGATCGCGCCCTGGGCCAAAGGCAGGCGCCAAACCGCTGTGCCACCCAGGGATCCCTCTATTTGAGTTTTTAATCGGTTTATGTCTTTTTTTTTTTTTTCTTCTGTTGAGTTGTATGTGTTCCTCACATACTTGGATTGTTGTTAATCCCTTACCAGGTAATCACATATATTGATTGCAAGTATTCTGTTAGGTTTTCTTTTTATTTTGTTGTTGTCTTTGCTCTGCACAAGCTTTTTAGCTGATGGAGATGGTATGTTAATTAGTTTCAATGTAGTAGTTCTTTGTGTGTGTAGATATATTAAATTATGTTGTATACATTAAAACTTGTAGTTTTAAAATAACAAAAATTAAAAAGTAAGTAGAGGAATTTGGAAATAAGGTAGGCAACTAGCAGTTTCCACGAATAAAATATAAATTCTTACCAGTATGACTTAGGTTTACAGCATACTTCCAGAAGCTTGCTTATAAAGAATGATTGAGCAGTAGGTTAGCATTGAGCTTTTGTTTTTTTTTTCTTTCTAGATGAAGAGTTCATGAACTCCTCTTTTTTCTCATTTTCCCCCCTGATTTTAATGTTATTTGTACTTATTACGTATTAAATTCTCAAATAGATTTGTTACTGCTTCCATTCTCTCTAGTTTATTTATTTATATTTACTATCTCTTCTTTAGTACCAAACTCTTATAAACTGTAATTCTATTACTTTTATGGGATAGAGTTAACACTTCTCATTGTTTTTAGTATTTTCTTGCCTCTTGTTAAATTATTTCACAAGTGAACTCTAGTACCTAATATTTGATTGTGTTAGCGTCTCTTCTACTCTCCAAAATTTTAATTGATAATTTATTGAGAATGTATTGGTTAATTAGAACTGACAGCTGTACAGTACTGTATTTGTTCCTCTATAGTTTAATATATTCTTAAGATTTATCTTAGATATGTGATATTTTTCTGTTATTGGAATTTTTTGTTCTATTTTAGTTTAAAATTGTTATGGTAAAATATACCTAACATAGAACTAACCATTTTACCCATTTTTAAGTATATGGTTCAGTGGCATTAATTACTTTTATGCTGCTATACAGCCATCACTACCATCTCTCCAGAATGTTTTTCAGATTTCCATAATGAAACTTCATACTAATTAGACAATAACTTCCAAGTCCTCCTTCCTCCTGGCCCCTAATAACCATACTATTTTTGTCTCGCTGAATTAGACTATTGTAGATATCTCATTTAAGTAGAATAGTACAATATTTGTCCTTTTGTGGCTAGTTTATTTCACTTAGCATAATGTCTTTAAAGTTCATCCATGTTGTAGCACCCATCAGAATTTCCTTCTTTTTTAAGGCTGAGTGTATTCTGTGTATTTACCACATTTTGTTTATCCATTCATCTGTCAGTGAACTTTTGGTTTACTTCCACTTCTTGACTGTTGCATATAATGCTGCTATGAATGTGGGTATATCTTTGTGAGTACCTGCCCAGTTCTTCTGGGAATATACTTTTGGTTTACTTCCACTTCTTGACTGTTGCATATAATGCTTCTATGAATGTGGGTATATCTTTGTGAGTACCTGCCCAGTTCTTCTGGGAATATACATAGAAGTAGGATTGCAGGATCGTATGTAAGTCTCTGTTTAGTTTTTTGGGGAACCACCATACTGTTTTCCATAGCAGCTGCACTATTTTACATTTCCACCCTCAATGTAAAGGGTTCTAATTTATCCACATCCTCCAACACTTATTTTCAGTTTATTGGGTGTTTTTAAAAATAATTGCCATTCTAATGGGTATGAAGTATTGATTGTGGTATTTGGTTTTCATTTCCCTAATGATTAGTGATTTTAGGCATCTTTGCTTGTATTTATTGACCATTTGTATATGTTCTTTGGAAAAATATCTGCTCAGGTCCTTTGCCCATTTCTTATGGGGTTGTATATTTTTTTGTTGAGTTCTAGAAGTTCTTTGTTATGGATATTAACTCCTTATTAGATACACAATTTGCAAATATTTTTTTGGATTCTATGGATGGCCTTTTCACTCTATTGATAGTGTTTGCACAAAAGTTTTTAAGTTTGAAGTAGCCTCATTGGTCTGTTTTTGCTTTTGTTGCTTGTGCTTTTGGTGTTAATCAAGAAATCATTGCCAAATCCAGTGTCATGAAGCTTTTCCCCCCTTATGTTTTTTTTTTTTAAATGATTTTCAGAGTTTTAGCTCTTACATTTAAGTCTTTAATCCATTTTGAGTTAATTTTTGTATATAGTGTAAGGTAAACTTTGTTTTTTTGCACAAGAGTATCCAGGTTTCCTAGCATTGTTTGTTGAAAACTCTCTTTTTCCCATTGAATGGTCTTGGGACTCTTGTCAAAACTCTTTGGACCTGGGGATCCCTGGGGATCCCTGGGTGGCTCGGCAGTTTAGCGCGGCCTTCAGCCTAGGACGTGATCCTGGAATCCCGGGATCGAGTTCCGCATCGGGCTCCTTGCATGGAGCCTGCTTCTCCCTTTGCCTGTGTCTCTGCCTCTCTCTCTCTCTCTCTCTGTGTGTGTGTGTCTCTCTCATGAATAAATAAATAAAATCTTTTAAGAAAAAAAAAAACCCAAAAACCTCTTTGGACCTTATATATAATGGTGTATTTGGCTGTTGTTTATTCTGTTCCATTGGTCTGTCTCTCTGTGTTTATGCCAGTATCATACTGTTTTGATACTATATTATAGTAAGTTTCAAATTGTTTTTTTTTTCTATGGAAGAACACTAGTGACTTTAAATATTAATTATTAACCAGATATTTTACCGAATTGTTTTAGTTTTTCAGTTGATTGTGTAAAGATATGGCTGTTGCAAATAATGATAAAATATCATTTCTTCTTGAATTTTGTCTATTTTTGTCTAATTGCATTGGCTTTCCATGTTAAATAATTATGTTGCCCATTTACGGTATTTCTTTCTTGCTTCTGATTTAGTGGAAATTCTTCTAATATTTCACCAGAGTGTATGATGCAATTTTTGGTTTAGACATGCTCCTAAACGTCTGAGGCTGACATCAAAGGCTTAATTACAGTTTGGCACTTAAAGATGGTTTGTTTCTTGTTGGTCTTAATAGGAATAAAAGATGAATCTGAAAGTATCATAGAAGGACTGCTCGGTTTTGATTCATATACATCAGCTAATTGACTTTTTCTCTTTTTCAGAATGGCCAGAGTTTTCTGGTTTTGGATGAACAAAGATTTGCAAAAGAAATTCTTCCTAAATATTTCAAGCACAATAACATGGCAAGCTTTGTGAGGCAGTTGAATATGTGTGAGTATAGGCAGTGGTTATTTGGAATACTGTGGTCAGCCCCGATTAATCCATTTTTTCCCCCATTAGGTTGATAAAGGAAAGGGAAATTTTTTTACTTTTATCTATTTTAGTCATCTAAATTTTGAATCTTTTTTCAGATGGTTTTCGTAAGGTTGTGCATATTGACTCTGGAATTGTAAAGCAGGAACGAGATGGGCCTGTTGAATTTCAGCATCCTTACTTCAAACAAGGCCAGGATGACTTGTTGGAGAACATTAAAAGGAAGGTGAGCTATTGTTAATATGATTTATTTAAGGCATTACCATGTAGCATACTCGGCCAACACAATATTTCACCTGTTGAAATTAAGAATGTATAGAAATACACAGGTATTTTTGTTGGGATAACTTAGACTAATAAAGCTTTAATTATTTCCCTCTATTTTATATTTTTTTTCTGCAGTCAACTGTCCTAAAGGCTCAGTCTTCAAATACGTTCTAGAGGGAAGGAAAATGTTTACATTCTGACTGAGGGTGAAAAATCATCCATATTGGGATGGCTCACTCTTTCTAATTTAGCTTAAAATATGTAAACTTTTGTTAGAATGTCCACTCCTTGGAGGGCCTTTTCTGTAGTTCGCTGCTGAATATCCAATGCCCAGAATAAGTCCCTTGCATATAGTAAGCATCTAATAATATATTTTTTAATGAATGGTATCTTTTACTGAAATAAAATATTTTTACTAAATCCACAAAAGAAGAGGGATAAAAGAGTAATGGACCATGAAAGAAAATGGCCTAGTGTGCAGCTGTTACTGCATAAATTTAATTAAACGTGGAATGTGATAATAAAGAGGCTTGGGGAAATTACAGTGAGTTTGGCTAAAGGGAATGAAAAAAAAAAAAAAGCCCCTAAGTTGTTCCTGCTTGTAGAAACTTCTCCACATTTAAAAAAAAAGATTATTTCTTATCCTTGTCTTTGAGCTATTCTTTTTATAGAATCCTATCCTGGACTTTTTGGAACTAAATCTAACTTCCTGAATCAGCTACAAACCCACTTATAATAGGGAAACTTTTTTTTTTTTTAATAGGGAAACTTTGAATTACAAATATGGTATTTAGTATTTGATTTCCTAAATTTGTTTTCAAAAGGTTTCATCTTCAAAACCAGAAGAAAATAAGATTCGTCAGGAAGATTTAACAAAAATTATAAGTAGTGCTCAGAAAGTTCAAATAAAACAAGAAACTATTGAGTCCAGACTTTCTGAATTAAAAAGGTAAAGTATTATTGCCAAATATAATCTTCATATAGGGATTGGTGTGTGTGTGTTGGGATTGGAGGTTAGTGCTTTAAGTACTTAGATCTCATTGTTGAAGCCAAGATAAAAGGTCATTTTTCTGTAAGTACTGGTTCCCTTAGTTTGATTTTTAGCCCTTGACTTTACCTCAATATTATATTTTCTTGACCGTGGTCAAAAGATTTTATGACTATGGGCAATTAAAACAGTTTGATGCTGGAGTCTCACTGATGAAACAATAGATATTTAAATTGATGTAGGAATTGCCCCTGGGTGGCTTGCTTAGTCCATTAAGTGTCTGCTTCCTGCTCAGGTCTTGGTCTCCCAGTTCTGGGATTGAGTTCCACATCAGACTCCCTGCCCCAGGGGGAAGTGTGCTTCTCCCTTTCCCTCTGCCTCTCTTCTGGCTTCTGTGTGTGTGCATGCTCTCTCTCAAATAAATAAATAAAATATTTAAAAAAAATAAATCAGTGTAGGAAATATGATTCCACGTAGCTTTCATATGATGTTCACACACATGAGGGAACACAAGCCATAAAAATATACTACATATGTTACTCATCTCTTCTTTTATGGCAGTTTAATATGCTTTTTCTATGTGGCTTAAGATAAAATAGGACAAAAAATAGGGAAAAGGATGCAAGAGACTTGCTTTACTTGGTATTTGTCATACATAGACATGGTAATGGTGTTATTCAAATCAATTATCTACAGAAACATACTTTTGCCTTATGGCAATTCTTGGCACCATTACTTGCCACACTAACAATTTGTATATAGAGTAGATGTATACTTCTCTTCTTAGTAAGTAGTTGAGATTTTTTCTTATCCTAATAGGGGCCAAGGTCTTGATTGATTTTATGTATTCTCTCTTCCATTTCAAATGTGGGATATTAGTTTAGCTGTCTTAACTCAAGTGTCTTCGTTAAAAGAATAACCTTGAATTTTGATTCCATTTTTTAATAAGGTTTAATTTTAAGCTGTCCCATTTTGTGTATTTCATTTAATCAGTTATGCTAGTTTATGGTATGTATCTTGTGTCTACTGAGGTGCCCTTTGACCCAATTCCTTGAATCTCCAGTTTAACCCTTAAGAAATAGATCCCCAGATTGGACCTGTAAGTTTTAGAGGTAACTGTTCTTCTACTTAAATTTAGTAGGCAGATGATAATATCTTCAAATATCTGAGTCAAAAAGAGTACCCTATTCAGTAAGTATTAAAGGAAGTTTTATTTTCAATATCTTCTGTATGTAAGATATAGAAGTCCCTTTTGTAATAGTTTAGCTTGAAGAGGATGGATATTATGGAAATTAACAAGAACAAAACTTAAAACATTTAATAGGTGGATTATCCTTCATGCCTTCTAAGTATTGTTGCTGCTAATACTTAATAACTGCAATTTCAGTAGTAGTTAATGAAGAAAAAGAAACTATTACCACTAGGCAAATTATTGGCTTGTCACATATTTAGACATGCTTTAAAATTTTTTTTTTAGTGTTTTTCTATGTCTGTGTTTGAAGCATCTTAAGATAGTTTTAGGACCTGATAAACTTTCAGATCAACTTTAACACTTACTACACATTACCTGTGTGAACTTAGGCAAGTCCTCTCAATTCTTGAGGTTCAGTGTCCTCCTCTATAAAATAGAGCTAATAATTCCTTTCTTGACTGATTTTAGAGAAGTTTAGATAAGAAATACACTAAAATGCTTAGTATAATGCCTGGAACATAGGTAGTGCTGGATAAATGTCACTTTCTTTAAGAATTCTTTTCTAAGCACAACTCCTGAATTCACTTGGTAGCCAAAGATTAGTTTATTTTTTAAACAAGAAGTAATGAACCACATTGTCAGAGAAGTAAATTGCCTACTACTATATGGCTACAGGCATGTGTCTTTAATTTTTGTGTTTATATTGCCATGAATATAAAGTACTATAGTTAGGAAGGGAAGATTCTGGAGTTGTGTCAAGATAGTAGCCATTTTATATAATTGAACCAAAGTTTTTTCATTTTCATGAAAATATATAGGAAAGTTCACTGGTATTCTTTTTTTTTTTTTTTTTTTTGTTCACTGGTATTCTTAATTAAAGATAATGAGGTCTGCGTTTCTCACTAAATTTTGTTTTGCTTTTTAATAAATGATAACATAGTGAGAATGAGTCCCTTTGGAAGGAGGTGTCAGAATTACGAGCAAAACATGCACAACAGCAACAAGTTATTCGAAAGGTAAGCTTTTTCATCCCATGACTGTAATCTGCCTTTGTTTAATTTGTGTACCATTCGTGACCCAAAAAAAGTCTCTATGGAATAGTCAGTGATTGATCTTAGTTTCTTATATATTGGGTTCGTATATAATAGTGAAACTATGAAATCAAACAAATTAGGTCAACTGTTATATTTTCTTTTTAATAAGGAACATTTCTCATTACCTAAATATGGTTATTCCATACTCTCAGCCTAAGTCTCATTAGATTTAAGTAAGTGACTTTTAGCCTGATATAAAAACTTTAAAGATACTTTATTTTTAGGAACATAATTAATATACTACCCATTTTTTTTACTATGAATAACAATCTTACTGTGTTCTGTTGTTTTTACTATTTTTTTTACTTGAAATGGCATAGATATGGTCTTTGAAGACAAATGACTAAAATTTTCAAATCATTCACCAAATTATGAATTCAAAAAATTAGTTACCAATGTATGCCATTATCAGTATTTCTAGAAAAGCAGAAAAATAAATTCTAGATTTTAGTATCTGAGCTGAAAATTACTGGGGGAACTGAAAATCTCTCTGTTGCATTGTGTCCTTGTGATTTAGTCTTTTCATATCAGCTTTCATATGTTAATAAGACTTGAAACATAAAAGTAATTAAGGCAGCTATTTTTTGCTCATGAGTAAACTAGACTCTTAAGTTTAAGCAACAGGTTTTTGAGGGGGAGGAAGGGTGGGAGAACTTCAGCTGGTTTGTGCTGAGATGCCTTTAGCTAAAAATAGGGTTATGACTGACAGGATCTGGGTCTAGTGGAGCAAGCTTAGAACAGAGATGAATGGTTGCAGCCTTTGGCCTGTAGTCAGATAGATACACTGTGTGTGTGTGTGTGTGTGTGTGTGTGTGTGTGTGTGTGTGTGTGTGTAGTTTTTCCAAATCAGTATGTAAGTGAAGGTTGAATGTACAATTTAGTTCTAAGTGTTTAGTCCAAGTACATATATTTTCAAAACTTCCATAGCTGATTCCAACATGCAAGCCTGTTAAGAATAGCTGATTTAAAATGATAGGTGTTTGGGGGCACCTGGATGGCTCAGTGGTTGAGCACCTGCCTTTGACTCCGGGCCTGATCTCAGGATCCTGGGATCGAGTCCCACATCAGGTTCTCTGCAGGGAGCCTGCTTCTCCCTCTGCCTGTGTCTCTGCCTCTCTCTCTGTTCTCTCATGAATAAATAAATAAAATCTTAAAAAAAAAAAGTATAGATGTACCTTAACCTGCACTTCATTAAAAAAAAAAAATCTTTTCCAGAAAACGTTTTAGTTAAATATTAGCTTATAATACTATATGATTTTTTTTCACCTAAAAGCAAGGAAAGTTGATGAAATACTTATAGAGGATTTCAGGTTTTCATGAAACCTAGCATACTGTCTGCTCAAATTTGAGTTTTGAATAAATGTGGTTTGGTGGAGCTAGGGAATTTTCATGATGCGTAGTGATAGCTGATAATCTCTTCTGTATTGCTGTATTTGGCTCCTATGTCTGCCATTCACTCCTTGGCTTTATATTAATTGGAATAGTATATGTGAGTTACCTGGTATAGGTACTTGTTACAGGATAGGATAAATAGTACCTGTTATAGAATTTACCAGGTCCAGAAATTAGATGTTGTAAATGTTAGGTGCCTTATCTTCTTCAGGAAATAAGGTTTGTGTACAGCATGATGCAGAATGTCATAATAAGAGAACTAAAATACAGAAAAAATTTCAGGAGAAATTTAGCCAGTGCTTCATGTTCTTATAATTCAACCACTAATGTTTTTAGAATTTTTTATAACACTTATAAATTAACAAAAGTAATTGAAGCCAAATTATTTCATAGATACCTTTAAGTTTAAATTTGTCTTCTCATCAGCATCAGTCAGCATTTTCTTTTGAATAAACAATTTAGTGGCTGGCTTCCTTTTCATGACTCTAAAACTGTTTAACTTTTCTGCAAAGAGTCTAAATAGTCCTTCAGTTGCTTTTGGCCTTTATTTATAGCCTCTCAGTGATATACTGCTTTTCATAGTTCACCATATGATCCTGACTTCTTTAGCTCCTTTAGGAAGGTGACAATAAATTTCAAGACATATCCTAAGCCAGTGATTCTCACATTCACATCAGTATCACCTGGAGGACATTGCTGGACCCTGTCCTCAGAATTTCGGATTCCGTTAATTATGGAGTGGGGTTGAGAATGTGTGTCTAACAGATTCCTGGGCTAATACTGCTAGTCCACGGACCACACTGTAAGAAATGCTGTCATAAAATATGAAAGATTGTTTGCATGTCTTGATCTGTTTAGTAGCCTTTTCCTTTTAAATTTAATTAAGCTCTGAAGATTAAACCAGCTTCTCTTGATTGGCAGTATGTGTGTCTTGGATAGTTAAGAGGAAAACCATCTGAAACAAAATCTATTCATTGTTTATTTAAAAAAAAATGTACTCCCAACTTTGAAATTGTGTATTTATTTTTGGATAATTTCTAATTAACTGTATTTTGGGGTTTATTTCTGTTACTGTATAATTAGATATTTCATGATTTTATTAAGCAATAATTTTTCTAGAATAACCCAATAAGCTTTTTCTCCCTTGAAAATTTTATGCTCTCTTCTGAAAGAGATGGAAATTTCTTTGGCCTCTAATTGCATTACCTAGTTTAAGAAAAATGTTGCCTGTCACTCCCCCCCGCCCCTCAGCATAATCTTGAAAGAATTTTAGTTAAAAACTTGGGATCTGTATTCAGGCATGCTTGGATCTTAGCACCAAAACAAATAACTGAGTGGAGTATTGGGTAGATGGATGCATCGGGGGATAGATAGATGAATGGATGGATGGATGGATGAGTAGATGAATGTCTTAGGCATCTTGATATCCTGGGTGGCTGCTACTTTTATTACAGGTTATTCTTCTGCCTGGAAACTGTTACATTTCTTTAGATATTAATTACAAGGTGCACCCAAATTTCAAATATGTTAACACCAGAGACATTATGTGACTTAGAAAATATGTAGTATTTGAATTAATTTCTTAACACTTGTAATGTGGACTAAAGAATTAGGAGTCTATGATGGGAAATTTTTTGTGTATATTTTCCTTTTAGATTGTCCAGTTTATTGTTACATTGGTTCAGAATAACCAGCTTGTGAGCTTAAAACGTAAAAGGTAAGTTTCTGTGTAAAATACTTTGACCTATTCCTGGACAGCTAAACATGTTAGTGTTTAACGGTGAATGGCCTACATTCGCTTAGTGTATGTCTGTTGTTCCAGATGAACAGTCCTTCCTTGTTAAATTATACTCTCAGCATTTCAAGAGTAGTGTTACTTCTTCCTCCAGTCATCCTGCTAATGTTTTTCAGAGACAAGTATAGCTAAATGGTCACTTTACAGACATACAGGGAGTTAATCAGGAATCCATTTTTATTTGCATTAGCCATTTACTGTAAAGTTAGAAGGCCTGAGTGAGGGGAATTTTTAAAAGAAGGTCATACATTGAAAACAAAAATACTTGATCACTTATATTTAATCCACTAACAAGAAATTTAAAAACCCAAATATTGACTGTGGCTTATGATACATAAAAATGTTAGTATTTGCCATTGTTAAAACTAAAGCTTAAGGATGGTGGACAAAGGAGTAGTTGGAAGAAGAAAAAACTTATCTTAAAGCTTGGTTATGTGCACACTTTATGCTGTGGCCTTAACTCTACTTCCACGAACTAGTTATGTATGTTAGTACAGTTCATTATGATGTAGTTCAGTCAGCAATGAAATAGTATATTGTATTTATTATATTATTATATATCATTGTTATATACTACATATTATTTATTATAGTTATTATATTAATTTTAGCAAAAATAGTATAGAAGAATGCCAAAATCAAAGACCTAGGCATAGTCACCCCCTAGTTTCTGTTCCTAAGATGTGACCATTGTGTATCACTATGTTCTTTGTGTATCCCTAACTAAAATCTTTTATTATTAAAGTGTATATGTTCATGTGAGGGTAAAATATTAGAATAGTTTAAATTTCTTGTGTGCTCGCTTCACTGAATTTCATGAATATCTTCTGATTTTCAGGCCTCTACTTCTAAATACTAATGGAGCCCAAAAGAAGAATTTGTTTCAGCATATAGTCAAAGAACCAGCTGATAATCACCATCATAAAGTAATTTTTTGGTTAAATTCTATTTTATATTTGTTATTTCAAACCAAATTTTATTGCAGCAGTATTTCATATATTCAGAATTCACATTCAAAGTTTAGTGAATAATAATCTAAGTGTTCATTCTCCAGTTTTATTAAATCATGCCTTTTTAAATTATTTACTTTAAATTATTTTAAGAAAGAAACTGTTATAAATAGAATTATTTTAGTTTTCTGTTCCCAAGTTTGTTTTTTTGCCTCTCAAGTTTGTTTATTGACTCCTCTTTGGTCTCTCATAGATAATCACTATCTTGAATTGATATTTATATCAGTCATTTTTGAATTGGTCATTTCATATGTGTGAACTCATGAACAGTATTTGCTATTATTTTGCATGTATCCAAGCTTCATATAAATGATACTGTTTTAAAAAAATAAATAAATGATACTGTTTTGCACATATCATTTTACATTGTGACTTTTTTCACTTGGTTTTGCTTTTGAGATGTATTAAATTAAGTTCATCTCTACTACTTGATATTAATTCAGTATTATGATCATGTAATTAAGCATTCATCCATAAATTATTTTAAGTTTCCAACTTTTATTATAAGGTGTATAGACTAGACTTTTTACTCTAGCAATTTCAAAACTATTTTTGTTTACCTTTATTTTTGTGTTGGGTTCTCTGGATCATTTGTCAAACTTACACCCATTGGCAAATCATTCCAGTCCAGTGTCTCAACTTCCTTTAATAGCTGATTGTTATTGTAACTTTCAAATCTTAGAATTCTAAATACTGCTTCAGATTTGTTATTAGAGTACCAAGATTTTTTTTCTTGAGCAAATCAGAGTTAACATCAGGTTCTTCTTCCCACTACTGTTTCTAAATAATAAAGCATACCTAACTATTGTGTTTTTAGGATTTAAGATTCAATGTAAATGGAATAGAATTTCTTAATTTAACCAGATTTATAAATTTTTAAGTACTTTGGATCTTTTGCCTCAGATTTATCTACTGTTGAAATTTATAGATTTTGCATTTTAATAATGAGTTTAATTTGCTTTAGAGAATCGAATGCTTTCTTATTTATTATGTACCTACAACCTGAATATATCTGCAAATGAATAAAAAAAAATAATTGCTGAAAACTCAGGCTGACATTTAACTGGAGCTATTGCAATGGTTTTTTTTTTTTTCCCTATTAATGAAAGCATTTAATGAGAAAGAATAAACCATATGTCAGAGTAGCTTGGATAAAATAATCCTCATCAGCAACAGTAGCCATCTGGTTATGCTTGAAATTCCTACTGAAGTCTTAAGATTTTTTCTTTTTTTAACCCTTTGGATACAAAAAATACTTTAAAATTTGAAAATCTTTCCATAGAATCATTCTGAGGCATGCCACCTTCAAGATTCCTTACAGTCAAAGAAATAAGTAGAATGAAGTAACACACCTCATACCTTTGTGAATTGGTATAAATAAAATTAGTAAGTCCCATTAGGGCAGAGAACATAGCTAAATTGTATCCTCAAAATTTAGTAAATAATGGGTGCCCAATTAACACTTTTTAAATGGTATGTTGTTCAGTAGTCAATATAATTTCAGTTTTTGATACATTTTCTGCCTGATTTTTTTAGGTTCCACACAGTAGGACTGAAGGTTTAAAGCCAAGGGAGCGGATTTCAGATGACATCATTATTTATGATGTAACTGATGATAATGCAGATGAAGAAAATATCCCAGTTATTCCAGAAACTAATGAGGATGTTATATCTGATCCATCCAAGTAAGGAAATTATGAAGTAAAATTTGTGAAAATATTGGTTACTTTTCTTATCAAAGAGTTAAATTCGAAATGACTTTATTCTGTGATAATTTACTGTCTAATTCATATTTGGTTTATTAAACTGAAAAAGCCAAAATATTTAATGAGATGTTCTCCCCTCAGCAAAAAGACTTCTGACAAAAAGTAATGAGAATTCTGATTTTTTAATTTTGGAGTTAAACATCTTTAATTGATTCTTTGTGGTCTCATATGGTGAATCAATATTTGTGATTAAGCTGACTCACCCAAGAAATTTGTGCCTTTTGATACGTTTTGGGGAGAAGGTTTCCATGAAGAATGAATGGACAAATTAATTTATTGAATGTGTTTGAAAATATAATTGGTTCTTTCTCATATTGCTGATCTAGCTGTAGCCAGTACCCTGATATTGTCATTGTTGAAGATGACAATGAAGATGAGTATGCACCTGTCATTCAGAGTGGAGATCAGAATGAACCAGCCAGAGAATCCCTAAGTTCAGGCAGTGATGGCACCAGTCCTCTCATGTCTAGTGCTGTCCAGCTAAATGGCTCATCTAGTCTGACCACAGAAGATCCTGTGACCATGATGGATTCCATTTTAAATGATAACATCAATCTTTTGGGAAAGTGAGTGCTCATCTAGGTTATCTGAGTTTATTTGCTTGCTTTGTTTACTTTACATGTTCTCTTTTCTTTGAATGACCTTCTTTTCAGATTATGAACCCATGTAACTATCTTTCTTTGTTTTAGTCAGGGCTAAGTTCTGCAAATTTTTTTTTGAGAAGGATTTAATCATCTCAAGAATAGTCTTGAGATTTTCCTGGCAATTCCTTAGATTTCTTTAATGAGATACTTGTTTTGAATATTCATAAAGTGTGTGTGTGTGTATTTGTGTTTTTATCAGGGCTATAGAATAAGATAATCTCTGTTAAGGGACTTATAGCATAAGAAAACCAGAAATTAGTAGCAATTACCAATAATAAGTTAAATATTTTATAATTTATAGGGTAGAGGAAAAAAGATAAATCAGACTGTTGTCACAGTCTTTTTTTCTGTAAATATTAAAGTTTTGTGTAAAAGCTGTGAGTTCTTAGTAAACCACATTTTTGGGAATCTCAAATACTGAATAGGATCTCTTACGATTAAGAATTTTGTAATGTGAGTTTAAATGTAAAAACAAGGAAACCTAATATTTGATATTTTTTTAATATTTTTTCCTTAGGGTTGAGCTGTTGGATTATCTTGACAGTATTGATTGCAGTTTAGAGGACTTTCAAGCCATGCTGTCGGGAAGACAGTTTAGCATAGACCCAGATCTCCTGGTTGATGTAGGTACTTTGAATACTTCTTGCTATACTGGCAGTTTGTGTATTTATGTATATTGTTTATAGATCAGCACGTCATTTTCTTGTATTCTCACTATTTTTGCATTTTCTTTTTTTAAAATGAATGATTTTGTGTACTAGAAACAATGAGCAGATGGTTCAGGATAGTGAAGGAGGTTGATCACTACCCATTTCTGAATAGCAGTTCAGTTAATCCTCCTGTAACAACATATCAATTCTGTTCAACAGTGCTGCTAAATCCAGGCCTTTTCTGGACTTGTGGCTGTGTTTTGTTTTGTTCTAGAATAAATTGTCGCTCAATAGAAATTGGTGGAAATTTAGTAATAGAATTACTTAGCCAGGAAATAGCATGAAGACACTTTCTAAGACTTTGGGAATTAATGTTTTCCAATCAAATGAACTATATTTTATTATATTTGCTATATTTTTAAAATTTTTATGTCCTGAGTCCTAAGGTTATCCTGTTCCAGTCCGTACCACCACCTATATGAACATGACTCCCAATGTTGTCTGGACTGTGAATCCTTATCTACCATTTCTGGCATTAATTTTCTTGCTCTCTTACCTCTTGCTCCTACCACTCCTCTCTCCCTTACTGTGGCTTGGTCCTTTCCAGATGAAATTGTGTATTGTTCTCTCCCTGATTTCCATTTTCTGTTGTGATATGTTCTTCTGCCCTGAAAAGCTTTGTCGCTCCTTTTGTTGTTGTTGTTGCATTTTTCTGCCTTAAAATGCAGCTTTTCTCATGTCAAAATATTCTCTTATCCTTTTAAGAGCTTCTCAGTGAGGATAAAAGGAATTAGTCCTTTATTGCTCTTTAATCTTATTAGTATACCACCTTATCATTCTGCTTCTCAGTCTTTGTCAATATGCACGATTTGATTATCTTTTACAAACCGTCAGTATGTCACAGGATGGATTTCCCTTTCTTTGAAGATTTCTTTCCTTTTTTTTTTTTTTTTTTTAAGATTTCTTTTTCATACTGGCTTATGTTACCATCTTAAGTGAATTCAGTATCCACGCTAATGACCTACTTTAATTTGTTAATAGCAATTTGGCAGCCCTTCTTGATTCTATCATTCTTTGTTCTCAGTCTGAATCCATGGACCTTTTAGGATAGCTGTCCCCTGGATCATAAAAAAGGAAATAAAATTCCATAATCCTGACCCTCTGCAAATCCTTGCAGTCTTCAATTAGATTATTTTAATTTAACCTTGGAACATTTATCATACTCTTCTGTCCCCAAAACCTCATCTAGCCAGCTCTTCCCTATTCATAGAAGATAATCACCATACTCTGGGTCTCTGGTAAGCTGTGGAATCTTTTCTTAGAGGAAGTGCTTACTTTCTCTTTAAAGTTTATTTGTAAACCTGCCTTCTCCCTGTCTCTTTTTCTATCTCTGTCCTTGATCTTTCCCATCTCGCTTCAGTGGACACAGATGTCCATCTTAAACATTTTGATGTGTTGCTCTGCTCATTTACCATTTTGCTTCTATGATCATTTCACTACAAAACTTTAGAAATGAGTAGCTATATTTGTTACTTCTTTTTTACCCTATATTTCTTTTTGAAACCCTGCATTGTCTTGCTTATTTACTCTAAGCCTGTGCTGCCTTGTTTTATCCATAGTGGGCTACGTTTGTTTTTGTTTTTCTAAGTCAGGCCATTGGGCTAGTAGGTTTATTCTGAATCAGATTTGGGCTTCATTTGGGTATGTCACTTACTAGCTCTGATACTAACTTTGGGAAATTTTACTTCTCTTGTTCAGTTTCCCCATCTTTTAAATGCGGCTAATGCTTAACACAAAGCGCTCTTGTGGGGATTCTAAATAATTAGTGCTATTATTATTAATACTAGTTACTTTTGACAATGGAACTATTTCTGTTTTTTTTTTAAATTTTTATTTATTTATGATAGTCACACAGAGAGAGAGAGGCAGAGACACAGGCAGAGGGAGAAGCAGGCTCCATGCACTGGGAGCCCGACGTGGGTTTCGATCCCGGGTCTCCAGGATCACGCCCTGGGCCAAAGACAGGTGCCAAACCGCTGCGCCACCCAGGGATCCCCTATTTCTGTTAATTCTAGAGGCACTGGACTTTGGTTTTTTCCCCCGGTCTTCCTAGCTAATCTCTGTTTAAGAGCTTTTCTTTTTCCTGTAGTTTTCTACTTGTATTTCCCAAGGTAACCATTCTTTTAGCTTTTTATTTGTTCTGAGTCTCTTCTTTTTCTATCCTTCCTCTTTGAAGGGATTTTGGTTCTATGATTGCTCTCAAATTTTTATCTCTACCTCTTAATATCTTTTTAAAGTAAACTTTACTTGAATTCTAATTCCATGCCTTTGGGATCAGCAGTTAAGAAGATCTTGTTAAGATCTTGTCTTAGATTGTGTTTGACACAAGCTTTTCTTTATTCTCTAAACTAGCTATACTTCTCAGCTTTCTTATTTTTTTGTAGTGGTATCAGACTTCTCTCTACTCACTAGGATAATAATCACTGAGTCATTTTGGTTTCCTTATCTTTATCTCATTGTTCATCAAGTCCTGTGTATTTTCAAAAATAGCACTGATAAATCATCCCTACTTTCTGTTGCCTCGTTCATCCAAGACCTTCATTATTTCATCCTTGAATTATACTGTATTGTAAAAATGTAAAATTGCATATGCCTGTGCATCCATAGGTTGCCTTTTTCTCTGAGATGGCAAAGATGGTAAGGACATGAATAAGGTATGCTGAGGAGTTTATGGGTTCTCTACAGAGTTCAGTTCTGAGAGGCCTGGCCTTAGAATTCAATTAGTGTCACTCATGTATGATCTACTTTTTTTTTGCTTCACATTATACATCTGCTGGGAATACATGAAGGTATCCCTGATTTAGTGGGTGGCATGAGTGGGGCAAAGAAGGAGTGAGGAGCTTATACTCTACAGATGTTACTTTCAGTAGGGATCAAATATGGTCAGGCTCAGAGGCAGTGATGAGCCGAACCTGGCAGAGATTGGCAGTCATGTACGGTTAACTGCTCTTAAGGATCTGAGTCTCTTCCTTTTCATGTATCAGTAGATAATATGAAAGGGGGAAAAGTTAAGGAAGAGCTGGGAATATTTTTAGGACGATCATGAAAATGGAACTTTAAGGAAAGGAATCAGTGTCTAGAGACAGTGGAGGGGGGATCTGTGTGCATTTCATTATATCCTGTGAACCATTTTGTGTTCATTCTCATAAAATATTTTAATCATTGCTCAGGCCTTTTTCAAGCCTCTTACTGCTGACAGAATGTGGTCTTATCCTCTTACCAATTTTGCTCTACTTCTTGAACTTTATGTATACAGCTTAATATTCAACTCAGAACTTTTATATTATTTGGATTGGTCATCTTGTCTGTTGCTAGAACTTCCCCCTCAACCTTCCTTCTTCTCTATGATTGCTTGTGCTATAATTTTTTCTCCCCCCATTCTCTCCTTTCCAAGTCCTAACCATTCTCCAGGGATTGATACACGTTGGATAGCTTCATCAACACTTTTTGTTTCGTGTGTGTGTGTGTGTGTGTGTGTGTGTGTGTGTGGTTTTCTCCCTTTCTCCTTTCTCTTAGTACTTTTGATCCCCATCATCAATTAGTATTTTAATACTGGATTGTATCTGATCATATGTTACTATTTGACGTTGTTCTTGTCTTTTAGATTGTGAGCTCCCGGAGAGCAGGAATAGTGTCTTCATTTTGAATTCTTCATGATGTCAATTATTTCTTAGATGTTCAATAAATCCTTGTGGAATAAATGACTTTGAAGCTTATGGCTTAAAAGTTATGTCTGTAAATTGGCTGGACCAAGGGGTTTAGTGAGCAGTGGTCTTAGTATTTATGTCTTCTGTTGCTAGGCAAGGTAAAAAGAACCAACAAGGAAGTAAGTATGCTATTTGGTCAGAGGACTCTGAGGTGTAATTTAGAAGCCACCGTTGTAGAGCAGATTCTATAAATTTCTCACATAATTAGCAGGTAGTCAGAGAAGGTTTACTGTCAAGGCAAGGGACTCAGCCCTGGATGCCACTTAAAGCCAAAGGCATTTAGAGAGAAAGTAATCATAAGGAAATGAAGGAGAGGCGAAGTTGGCCAAACCATCATTTTCTTAAGTGATTTACCCCAATGTTTTATTTTATTTACTTTATTTATTTACTTTTTTTTATGTAAGGTCCCCCCACTGTTTTATAGAGAAATTCTTACAACTTCTGACGCATGGGCTAGCTTGCTCTGCTTTTATATGTTTTTCTTTCTTTCCTGCTTTTCTCTTTCAAACTTGTTTTACTGTATGAAAACTTCCTAGTGCAGGAGCTACATCTCTTCACCCAACATGGCTGTATAAAAATTTTGAACACACAGTTAATTCTTTTTTAATATTTTTTAAACTTATCATCTTTCTTGTTTGGTCTTTCAGCTTTTCACTAGTTCTGTGCAGATGAATTCCACAGATTACATCAATAATACAAAAGTAAGTTTTAATTCATGTTGCTCAGGACCCATAGCTGTAAGAATCTGAGAAAAAGTCCTAGTAAGTAGACAGCAGTATGACTCCCAGTTACAAAAAGCATTTTATATTCTTACCTTATATGTGTGGTCAAGATAGTAAAATTTTAGATGAAAAATGAGCTTTTGGTTATGAGGTGAGTCATTGCCCAATTCTGTAGGCATTTGTGTGATTAACTGTCAGTATGAAATCAGCCGTCAAGGTGCTGGGAGATCAACTGACTTAAACTTGGCATGTTCAGGTGTATCACTGAAACAAATTATTAAAATATTTCTTCATGTTTTATGTACTTCAGTTTACATTCTTATTGCTCCGTAAACAGCTTCTCGGCATTTTTTTATTGAAAATTCACGGGTACCCATATTTTTTAAGTTCCTTCATTTTATTAGCATGCAACTAAAGCTCAGTGATTTGAACTAATTTGTACTAATTGTAGGTAAGGCAGGTTGAAACAATGAAGTGTGGGCTTTCAACATTTTTTTTTTGAGTAATTTTTTTTTTTTTTTGTTATTTTCTTGGACTTACAGGATTTCCAGTTGGAATTAGCAAATGTTGACAGGAAATTCTTTAGAACTGGTTTTTAATGAATAGTAAGGACAATGTGAAGTTGTTAAGAGCAGATTGATTAGAATCATTCTGTTGCTTTGTATATGGTTTATTGTCTTAAATAGGTGTATACTCTGTTTATTGAATACCAAGGTGTAAATCAAGTCTTCTGTACAAAATCTAGATTAGTGGACTTAAAATTTTATCTTGGTTTTTGTTCTTTGTTGTCAAAAAATGAACACTTAAATATAAGTGTTTAGAGTGAGGGGTAGAATTTTTCTGACTAATGTCATGTGTGAGGATAGCCCGACCAGATTTTTTCTGCATATTCGAAGTTATAGCCTGGGTAACTTCGAGTTGAAAGAATTTGTGAATTTGAGGTTGATTATACATTCAGTATTTGGATAATTTTTATCAGGGGTTAGCATACTTTTATAAAGGCCAGCTGGTAAATACTTGCAGTTTTGCAGGCCATATGTTCTCTGTCACAACTGCATAGTGCTCTAATTATAGTGTAACAGCAGCCATAGACAATACATAAAAGAATGAGTATGGCTGTGTTTCAGTAAAGCTTTATTTACAAAGACAGGTGGCATGCTGAATTTGGCATGTGGACCACAGTTTGCTTGGATTTATACTGTAAGGTTCTGTGGATCACCTCAACACACTGGGTTTCACTAAATATGGTATTATTAAATGTTAGGTCATAAGGTGAATGAATGCATATCGTGCATTCTTGCATTCAGTTAGTGAATTTACTGCACTGTTTATTGCTACACATTGAATCATTCTTTATTCTTGGATTATATCCTCTTTATTCCAAAACCAATAGCTTAAATGCAGTTCTCAGGAATAGCAGTTAAACAGCAAATTGCATATTGTTTTATAGTACTATAGAAAAATTTGAGAATGACTTTTCATTATAGTTCTTAAATCTAGATTAAGGTTTTCAAATAATTGGCACATCAACTGCCATTCCCTTGCTCATGACAGGTATTTTATTAACATACATTACAACACTCTTTCCTAATAAATCAGGTTACTTGTATTCTTCAGTAGAGCAATCTAAGTGGCCACTACTAATGAGTAAGAATTTGCATGGAAAACCCCTTTTCATCCTGGTTCTCATGTTTTGGAATAAAAGTAGCATCCTTGGAAACTGCCTATTTTAAAAAAGTAAAAAATAAAGATTTTATTATTGCATTAATGTTTTTTTGTGATTGCTAAATGAAAAATGTTTTTATGTATATTTTTGGAAAGGTTTAGTTTATTATATCTTGGGGCCATTGTTATTTCTGAATCTGGAAACTTGTACTGCTTCATTTTATGATTTTATGATGAATATGAGGTAAATCACAGGAAATAGTATGTTTTTTACACCATTTAAACTTAACCAGCAAGCAACTGTTTGGAACTTATGGCTGTTTAGGGAAAATTATGAACCTCTGCACCTCAGTTTTGAACATCATTGAAAAGAGCATTGAAGAACTAAACAACATTAAAGGTTTAATCCCCTTTGCAATCAGATGTGAGGAGAGAAGACAATGGTTCAAAGAAGCAATTTAAATGACAGAAAAGAACTGAAAGAGTCTCAAAGGAAATGAAGAAACTTCACCTCAACTTTGAGGCTTCCAAATATAGAGATAATAGTTTTAAAGATATCACCATGTAATCCTGACCTACTCTAAAAATGTTCACTATGCTAAATATTCTGTTTGTGAATGAAGAGAAGTAATATACATTTTTAATCAAAGCTGTTTAAGATGGGTTTAAATGTTTAAAGAATCATCTGTTAGTTTGAAACCAGCCATCTTTGATTCATTTCCATCTTTTACCTGTGACGATGCGGTCTGTTCTTTTGAAATGCCCCCTCTTTTCATACTTAACTGTCATCCTAGTTCAGGTTCTTTATTTCATCCGCTTGATGACAGCAGTAGTTTTCTTAACCAGTCTTACCTATTCAAATCTGTTTCTCTTTCTAGTTCATCCTTCCTGGTGCTTTCCCCCTTCACCTGTATTTCAAATAACACACCAGTGCTCACATACTGTATCAGTTTTTTATTTTTTGCCATTATTAGGAATATATAAAATATGAAACAAGAATTTTTTATATTATTTTTTCTCTTTTAGTCTGAGAATAAAGGATTAGAAACTACCAAGAACAATGTAGTTCAGCCAGTTTCAGAAGAGGGAAGAAAATCTAAACCCAAAACAGGTAGGTATAAATGTAGTATTAGTTTTTACAGATTTTTAAAATTAAAGAGTCCTACACAGAAAGTAATGTGAGCCAAGGAAAGTCTTGCCATACTTAACGATTGAACACAGAATGTACTGTTCTCGGTTCTGTGCATAACGTATCAAGGTTTCAGCTTATAGAGAAAATTAAATTGGTGAGGTACTAGTTTAAGTCATTTTTTAAAAATTTAACTTTAGGAGAACTTAACTCTATCTTAATAGTTGGAATAACAAGACTTAACTTTTCTGACTAGTACATTTTAAAATTTACTGACACCAAAGTATCATATTTCTTGTTTGGGTGTATAAGGGTACTGATTGCATATATGCACAGCTGTTTCCATTTTTTCCACCTTCAGCTTGAACTCTGTATAAGCTGGTGATAAAAGAGCATTTTTCTAATCTTTATTATAGATAAGCAGCTTATCCAGTACACTGCCTTTCCACTTCTTGCATTCCTCGATGGGAACCCTACTTCTACTGTTGAACAGGGAAGTACAGCATCATCAGAAGTTATGTCCTCTGTAGATAAACCCATAGAAGTTGATGAGCTTCTGGATAGCAGCCTAGATCCAGAGCCAACCCAAAGTAAGCTTGTTCGCCTGGAGCCATTGACTGAAGCCGAAGCTAGTGAAGCCACACTGTTTTATTTATGTGAACTTGCTCCTGCACCTCTGGATAGTGATATGCCACTTTTAGATAGTTAAATCCCCAAGAAGTGGACTCTACATGTATATATTCATCAAAATGATGAACTATTTATTTTAAAGTATCATTTGGTACTTTTTTTTGTAAATTGCTTTGTTTTGTTTAATCAGATACTGTGGAATCAAAAGCACCTTTTGCTTTTCTTACTTACACACTCTTGCAAAGCTTTCAGATGTTACTCAGCTACGTAGGTACATAAGACTTAATGCACATTGTTGGCATATCTTTAAGTTGGATTCAAATGGCCATTTTTCTCCAGTTGTAGTAACTTGGATTTCTTTTTTACATATATGCCCATTAACCCCAGTTAAACTTTTGTTTGTTTTACTTGTTTGATGCTGTCTGTTTGCATTGAGTGTTAAGTCACTAGAACTAATGGTAGAACTCTTAAAGCTTTATCTGTTCCAGTTACTTTTATTAAATATTTTTCACTTGGCTTATTTTTAAAACTGGGAACATAAAGTGCCTGTATCTTGTAAAACTTCATTTGTCTCTCTTGTTCAGAGAAGTTCATTCATGTTCAACAGGAAAGGCAAAGTATACATGAGTGCTTGCTATCAGATACGGCTCCAGCTCCACATACATAGAAAGAAGGGGATGGGATGGCATCAACACCATCCATCTCGTTGGACTAGTTTTAAGTAAAAGTTTTCTGATTTGTTTGTGTTTTTTTGAACCATACTATTTAGTAAAATAAATATAATGAATGTTGCGTACTAGTGTCTGTTATGTGTCTTCTTTAGAGGTGACACCCACATAATATTTTTTTTCCTTTTTATAGGAAGTAGGTAGGCTTAAATTGTAAACTGTCTGTTGTCCATTGAGTCATACCAAGAAATTTGTGCCCCATCTCAAGAGATAGACTGTGTGTATTACAACAAGGAAGGAATGTAAGGTCTCTAAACTTAATGTGTTTTAAAGTTCTGTGTTAAAAGTTATACTCGTTTGCTTTCTATATTTCTAATAAAGAACTAAGAGAAGTATGCCTCTCATTGTCCCAAATGAGGTAAGAACATTATCACTGGATGCCACCCAGAGGCCTGTAATTTTTGCCCCTAGAGAGAGAAACAGTTAAGTCACTTTCTCCTTTTGGACCAGTTGTTCAAGAGGCTTACAGAGGCTTAATGCAAGGCGGGCACCTCTTTTATCAAGTTGAATTCCACATTCAGGCACAAGGGTGGAAGCAGTGCAGTTTATATTTGAATACAAATTAAAATAGGACCTTCCTCTTGGCCATATTCCGTCTCTTAATATCTTGGAATTTCTCTTACTATGATGTAGAAATTCACAGTAAAGCCTAGCACAGAGAAATAGGAAACCCTTCCTTAGCAGATCTTAAAACATTGGACTCCGACCGTGGCATCTTGGTGAACTAATTCAAGTCCCCAGAGGTTTCTGCATAAGCTATAGAGATCACTTTCCTGGAGGTTGTTAAGGTCTGTACAAGAATTTAGAGCTGAGAGGAGAAATAACTTTAGAGATGTTCTTATTCCCTTCTCTTCTTCAGTGTGGAATGATAAAATTTCTTCTCCTTGGGGATATTTTGGAGCTTTAAACGTATTCTAAAAATCTTGCAAAACTTCATACTTTGTAGTACTTTTTAAGTTTAAAAAATTAAAAATTTTCATCTTTAGTTGGAAGTTATATTTTTAAATGCTAATATTAACACCATCCTAAATTTAATTGTTACTGTTTAAAAATACAATTATGTGCTGTTTAAATGTATCTAGAGGAATCTGTAATTACCATAGTGATTTGATATCCATTCATCATCCATTCCAATTCTCCCAAAGAATTTTATCTTAATTTTATTACGTGTTAAAGTCCTACATTGAAGATAGCGTCACACTTCTCAACAACTAAATTTGAAATTATTTCCTAGAACAGTAAGATTCTAAGCATTACGGAAGTTTGTCTCCGATTATGTACAATTCACTAAAGCAGTCTAATTATCCAAGGCATTTTCTCTGTTATGCAGTTAGATTTATTTCCACCTTTGTAAACAAGGTGGCTGTGTAATTGAATTCTGACAGATAAATCAGAAGTGATGTACAGAACTTCCAGATCTGGTCTGTGAAAACCTCCCCTCTGCAATCCTTGCTCTTTCACCCCTTCACTAGCTTGATGCAGAGGAGTATGTGGCTTCTGAGTATTCATTCAAGAAGAAATTTGGCTTCCTGAATCACAGCTTAGAAGAGAGCCACCCATCAATCTTGGACACCCATTGTAGACTTCAGGTGAGTAGGGCACAAAAACTATTATGTTCTGTCTTTGGATTTTTTTTTTTTTTTTTGGTTGGTCATAGTGTTCACTAATAAAAGATTAAAATTTTGGTAAACGTAAGTAAAATGTTATCAGAAATACATTTTTTAGTGAGGTCTTGATGGGAGTTTTCCCCCCATTTTTTTTGTATCTGAGGGTGAAGATTATCAGTGTAAAAGCATCAATTTCATTCCTTTTTGTTTCCATAGGCGTAGAACTCTTGAAAACATGATGGAAGGAATTTTGTCACAGCAGTATCCCTCAGTCCTTTGAACTCCTTCAGAATTATATACCAGAACTATTATTTTATGATTTAGTAGCTGGGGATTTATAATTAGATCATCATTCAAAACAAAAAAATACCTGAATTGCAAAAAGATTTTTCCCCCCTATCATTCTTTCTCACCAATACACAAAATTTTATATATTGAGTGTTCGAGATTTTATCCAGATTGTTAAATGTGAAAAGTAACTGTTAAGAGGGATGATGCCTTGATGTCCTTAAGGCATCTTTTCAGGCAGATCCAACCTCAGGAAGGAGTTAATAAGGAAATTGAAGATTGGAAACTGATTTCTCTAAAAACTCTTGTTTACCAAAGGAAGTCTCTGTAGTGTCTGGAAAACAAGTACCACAGTATGAAGACTGTTAGAGTACCCCTCCTCCCCGCCCCATCTTCATCCCCTTTATAACTTACTTTCGCTTAAGGGGGTATAAGTATCACCATCAGAAATGGTGTAGGACAAAAAGCTGAATGTTCTTTAAGGTACGTCACTATGTTTTCATAGGGATGGTATACTCAGCTGACCAGAGGCTTAATTGTGAAAACAGTCTGTAGACTGGGAAAATGACAAAATGATATTTCATTGTGAACATACATAGGATGTTTAAGAATTAGAGCCTAAATGTTCAAGGACACATGAAATATTTTTTGAGAATTGGTTGCTTATTAGGCCATAAAGCAAATCACATTTCATGCAAATGGTGTCAGACTAAAGTACAAATAAGCTAGACTTTAGTTTGGAGTGCTGCCATGGTATTTTGATAGAATGATCTTCATTTGGGTTTACTGCTTTTCCCATTATTAAACAGGAGTTAATGGGTTTGGGTAAGAAAGACCACAGGGGTGAAGTGCCATTTTCAACATTTATCAAAGTATCCTATTGGTTGTTTTTCTGGAGAAACCTAATACACTTCACTAAAAAAAGGAACAAAAGTGTCCTTTTTATCTTACATCTTAGAACACAGAAAAATCAAGTGTGTACAAGAATGGAGCATCTGCCCCGTAAACGGGGATGCTTTCAGAGGTGTTACGGGGGCAGTCCTACAAACTGTTGAGCTGGCCAAGTAGTGACAAGTTTAACATAAAGGAACTATAACACCGTGAAAACAAACATGTAAAGTCTTTCAAAAATTGAAACTAATCAAAATTAACCATTTTTGCTCTTCAAAAGACTGTTCAGATGGTAAGACCCAGGATACAGACTAGGAGAAAGTTTGCAAACCACCTATCTGATAAAGGATGAGTAACTCTCAAAACTCAACAAATTAAAATAAAAAAAACATCCAACTAGAAAATAGCCAAAAGGCATGAACAGACATTTTACTGAGGACATAAAGATGGCAAATAAGCACATGAAAAGATAAACATCATCAGCCATTTGGGAAAGGCAAATAAATTAAAACCAGAGAGAGGATATTCCTATCAGAATGGCTAAAGCAAGTAGTGACACCAAATGCTGGCAAGGATGCAAAGAAACTGAATTGTGCAACGATGGTGTGAACATTGGAAGATGGCAGTTTCTGTAAAACTGCTCAGCCCATCCACAAGGATTCTTCTCTTCATCCTTGGTTCCAAAGAACCACTGATCTCCATTCCTTGAAAGCATATAATCAATGAAATTATACTTCTGTGTAACCTTTTGGGACTGGCTTTTTAAAATCCAATTTCATACTTCCCTGGAGAGCCAGTCAGGTTGGTTTGTGTACGAACAGTTCATTCCGGTTTTATTGTTTAGTAGTAGTCTATGATAGAGATGTACCACTATGTGTTTAAACATTCACCAGTTGAAGGACTTTGGGGTTTACAGCTTGGACCATTGCAAAAAAAGCAAGGAACAATCATTCCTATATACGCTTTTGTGTGAACCTAAGATTTTTCTGAGTAAATATCCAAAAGTTTTACATTGTTTTGCCTATAGTATTGGAGATATACCATTTTAAATGAATTATTAAAGTACACTAAATGGTAACTCAGCTGAAATGGCACTTTGTTACTTTTTTGTGGCGGGGCGAGGGTAGGCGGTAAGGGACTTTTTATACTGTCACGTGTCAGCATCCGTTTGCAATTTAGAAAAAAAAAGCCTACAGGACACAGCAGATATAGAATATTTATCAAATGAATTAAAAGTAGTCTCCAAACTAAACTGGCCCATTTACTAAAGGTTCTTCAAAGAACATCCCTTTTAATTACGCGAGATTCCAACTTCAAGGGTTACTTACAGAGGCCCGAAGGTCCTTTAAAACGATTCAGTTTTTCAGGACACAAAATGGACAGCTTAACCTTCTTGTTTCAGGTTCTTTTATATACAGGAAAAAAAGTAGGTCTGAGTATTATAGCTACCTAAATTTGAGTTGCTAAAGAATTAATATACCACACACTTTTCTCTGAATTCATTTATTTAGAGATAGAACACAGCCATTCAAAATGATGGAATACAATATCAACACACAGAATAAAGTTGGGGAATTATGGTGAGTTGTTATATATTTCATTTACATTAATAAATACCCTTAAAAGAAGCAAATGTAGATTTTAAGATCCATTAAGACACTAATAACATGTACAAGTAACTAAGTTTCTAAGTTAACTGTCATACTGCTTGATTTTTCAGATTGTAAGACTATAATTAAACTATGTATTTCAATTAGATGGCAGCAAACAAAAGCATTTTAAACATCATCTCAACTGTATAATGTACTATATAAGCAGTTTATATTCTGTAGCATTCCATCCATCATTCTCCTGGCCTCAGTTTATGGGTAGATGCCAAGCTGGACACCAGCAAATCACCTAACAAATTATCCACCACTAATAAGGTGTAAAATCTATTATGTCTGTATTCTGAATAGAAGTAATTTTTGAATGCCAAAAAAATGCCAGCTACTTTGGGAAAATTTGGGATTTCCCAGCTTGGCCACTGGTTAACTATCTGAGCTTCTTGAGCTTCAGTACCTTCATTTTTAAAATGAAGGACTGGATAAGATTTTATCCAAGTATCTCCTGAGGCTTGGTATATTGCAGTTCTGTCCTGTCCTGTCAAAAGTTTACCACCTTTGATTTTCAAAATGAACTTTCAAAGCAATTTTCAACAACTGACTTCTAACCCATGATTATCTTTTTCAAAAGCTTGGTCTAAATCCTTCAAAGTTCCTAACATCTCCACTGAACCTATA